TTGATTGTGTCATTTAAAGGAATGTGTTCATAATTCAATGTCCGTAGGGTGTGTCTGGAGATTAACATTTGAATATATTTTTTATTTGTATTGGGTGTGATTCTGATGAAGATGTTTGTTGTGGTGTGATGCATCTAAATTTTAAACTCCGGACAGTAAAGTGGAATATTTTTTAGTTTTTATCAGGCTGTGGAAGAAATAGGAAGTGTGCAATGAAAAATCTCCTAGTATAATGAACCTTAGCCTTATGACCAATAAAAGGGATGATTAAAGAAATGTATTGGTTGCTAGATATTGGAAAAATTAACATGTCACCCCCCTCTTATACATTGCATCCCCCCCCCCCCCCCCCCCCCCCCCCCCCCTCCCCAAACGTATGAAAAGACTAGATTGCCCAGACCCAAATATTTTTTAGAAATTCCAAATTTCTGTGACCAACCAGATTTTTCAAATCTCTGTGGAGATACCGGAAATATTGAGGTGACTACCGGAAATTTGGTGACACGGTAAGGAATTTCCGGTATTTTTGCAAAATATCTGGTACTTCGCACTGAAAATTTCAAAAATCTGGTATTTTCGTACCGAAAATTTTGAAACTTCCTGTGGAAACGTTTTCCTTCCACATCGAAGATTTCAAAATTTCCAGTATCCTGTAAGATACCGAAAATTTTGAAATTTCATATTTTTTTGAAAAATGCCAGAAATTTAGAAATTTCTGATAGTTCATATATTCCTAATTTTTCTTATTTTTGCAGTGAAGATTAGGGGTAAGGACGGTATTGTTGCTGGCAGACAGACTGATAGAGAAGAAGCCCAGGCCTAGGCTAATGAGGGATAGGCTCCCGAGCTATGGACTGATCGACATCCGCCGACTAGTTCTCACCGGAAACGATTGGCTGAGCAGCAGGCACAGTTTCGCGCATCCTGTTGTCGGGGCTCGAGACTTTCTACTACTGAGGAGCCAGTTGTGGAGCCAGCTCCTGTGGAGGTACATGCTTTTGTTCCTGTTGTTGAGTCGACAACTAGAGAGGTTGTTGAGGAGGTACGTGCGCCTGTTGTTGTTGTGAAGCCGATTGGTGAGCGGGTTATGGAGCAGGTTGGTGAGCATGTTGTTGAGCAGGCTAAGCGCGTAGACGACATGACCTTGACTGATACAGACACCACGACCCTTGCGTCTACGGAGCCATCAGTACACACCAATTTAGTGTTTCGTGGAGGACCTTCTGATAGGTCCGTGCTGATAGGATTTGCTGACCATGTCGCCTACAGGATATGGCTTGGCTAGGTATGTATTTGGTTTTCTTTAATTGCATGATATTTATTTTTGCTTACAATATGCTTAAAGGAATTGTATAATATTTTATTTTTGCTTTTTACAGGAGTGTCTGATGCTGAAGATCGCTTCATATGGTTCGAAGTTGAAGAACTTCCCTGAGAGTCTGATGCCTGAGAAGGTCAAGAGTATCGTTAGAGATTTTCATCTCTTGGATTTTGCTGAGTGCTCCTTGACGATGTTGGACGTCTCCCTATTATCAGCTTTTGTTGAGAGGTGGCACTCGAAGACATCATTTTTTCATCTTTCATTTGGGAAGATGATTGTCACATTAGATGAGGTCGACCAGTTATTTCACATTTTGGTTGCTGCTACATTCTTCACACCAGTAGTTATTAACCATTTGAAGGCGATGCAGATGGTTGTGGATGACTTGGAGGTGTCTGAGGTGGACGTGCTAAAGGAGTTTAATGAGACTCGAGGATATCACCTTCGGATGTCTTGGCTGAGGAGGTTGTATGGGGAGCTTGTGGAGGCACATAGGTACCAGGTTGTCGATAGGGTGTACATGCTACATCTGGTGGCATGTATTCTCTTTGCGGATAAGTATGGTGTATATATTGATGTTCGGTACATGTCTCTGTTTAGCATGCTTGATACTCTGTGTTGGGCTTGGGGAGTTGTAACGTTGACCATGATGTACACAACACTTCACGTTGCTTCTCCTGCTGAGACCAGGCAGCTTGTTGGTTACCTTGTCATGTTACAGGTATACATAATTTATTTGATTGTTTTTATTAGTTATGAGTGTATGTATTTGATGGTTCTTATTTTGCAATGTTGGATATATGAGCACTTCCCTCACATATGTGAGCGGAAGATCCAGCGTATATCGGCTACCCTTCCATGTGTGAGGAGATGGAAGGGCAAGCAAGCTCGTCCTAGAGGTTTGATGGAGTACGGAAGAGGTTGGATGCACTAACGTTAGAGGATATTGTTTGGATACCTTATACATCTCATCGTTCTCATCGTCTATTTGAGGTATCTACTTTGTATTCGGGGCATATCAGATGGGAGGCCCAGGTGGCTAGACACTTGTCTGAGAGGTGTCTACGCCAGTATGGTTATGTGCATGGCATTCCTCGTCCAGTTCCAGAGACTCTAGTCGGTGCTTTTGATAAATGGTTTCAGAGTCACATCCTCAGCTCCCCTGTGAGATCATTGATACAGCCGTTGAGGTTCAACATCCAGGGCAGTGCGAGGATAGATACCTTGAGTGGTTTCAGTGTGTCACACCCTAGGATCATACCACCAGTTGTAGCATCTGATGTTATGGGGCCTTCAGGTACCAGGGATTTCTCTGATCCACCACCGCCACCTCCACCTCCTGCGGGTGACCAGGACAGCCGCCTACAGTTCATCGTCGTTCATTTAGATAACCTCATGGGGGTGGTAAACCTTGATGGTGAGATTTATACTAGTTTAGCTAGGTTGGCCGACGTTTCCCGTGGAAGGCCTGTGTAGATTTATTTTATTATGGTTGTATTATTTATATATATATATATATATATATATATATATATATATATATATATATATATATATATATATATATATATATATATATATATATATATATATATATATATATATATATATATATATATATATATATATATATATATATATATTGTGATAAACAAACATCTTATTGATTGCATAATCTTTTGGCGATTACATGTTTCGATTCGATGAAGAAAATAACATAACATAGTACAACAAACATAATTAACAAACATAAATAACAAACAATAAACATAAATGGTACACCTAAACATGAAAATCTAGGCATTACCGGATGACTCTGGACGTTTCAGCATCTTCATTATATCGTCGACGGATCTTCGAATCTCTGCATCCAACTCGATCGGTCCTTTAATTATCCTAAGTCGAAATGATTTTCACATGGCCTTCACATTTGCACTATTCTTCAACTTGATTAGGTTGTATTTCACCCTTCCATTTGTATCAATTCAATCCTCCTGAAACTCGACCTTTGTCACCCTTCTGTTATCGGAATCAGGCAGTAAATCATTCAACGTTTCTTTCAAGGTGGCAAGGGGTTCAGAGCCATCTGGAATCTTGAATTCAACAACAGGGTTGCATCCGTTGTAATACACTTCTACATAAATCAAATACTCAAGAAGAGGCATTTTTTGAGATGTCTTACCTTATCACTTGAAACCCCTATTTATACAAATGGTGATACATTCTAGACCACACAAATGTGTCGGTATAATCAGGACCCTCCAAATACGTCGAAAAAATCTCGACCGTTGAAAAAACTTTAAAATAAAACCTACCATAAATTTAAGTATAATTCAAATTTCCAATACTGACACGTAAATTTGAAATTTCTGAATTACCGGAAATTTCAAATGAACCATCAAAAATTTACTTTTATTGAAAATTTAGTAGGAGTGTACCGGAAATTTCACATATACCGAAAATTTCAATCTTTTTATCAAAAATTTCGTCCAAAAATTTCTTTGTATCTTATTAGAAACAAAATTGGAATAAAAAAATTGGAGATGAGATGCTTAATTTTGAGGATGGCATGTTAATCTCTAGATAAGGGTGCAGCCAAACCATAGGGAGTTGGTGGAGCAGTAGAGAATTATGGTAAAGAAGGTTGTTAGAGGGGTCTAGAACAGTAATCAAGTCAGGTTGTTAGAGTTGGATTTATCCTTATTTCTGATCAACTCAAGGACCAATACACGGTTGTTTAAAAAAATCTGCAACATTTCAGATTGGAGAGATGAACTATTCCATCACCAGCTTAGGTTTTTTAAGCAAGCTTTTAGAATCAAAATTCTGTATCCAGTCATGGTTTTACGCATTCAAGGCCTGGTGCGCGCTAAATCCAACAATGTGGCAACTCCCATCACTCTATTTCTGCGTATTATAAGTGCTTCAATCCAAAATTTAGATAACTGGGGCGCCAATTTCTTAAACAAAAGAACAAAACATAACCGTTTCTTTAAAGGTTTCCCTATTCTTTTTAATCTTCAAACAAGATGAGATTACTATAAACTGGCTCGGAACAACCTTGTGACTATCCACCACGATAGATATTTTGATGTGATTCAGTTTGCAACCAATACTCCAATTAGATTGTCGCTTTCAGGAATGTCATATTTACATTGTAAACAGAAACTTCTTGTACAAACTAACATGGGGAACGAATCCTTTCAATGCTAAAATTTTACATGTAGGAAATGTGTCATCCCTTAATAGACATTCAAGAGGTAAAAACCTATCAAAACTTATTGACGTTTAGGAACCGCGGGATTAACACAAATATCAAGATCCATTCCCTATAATCAGATTACATGCAGGCCAGTCTCTACAGAGATGTGAACAATATAGAAATACAGTATTATCGTGCCAGATTCCCTACTCAACTTGTAGGATAATATATAACTGGAATGCCTAATTCCACCTTAGAATCACTTTGGAAGCTGGTAAAAGATATCCCCATCTCTGCATCTGTCCATTAATTGCTATTGGAACCAACAACACACCCAGATGGTGTAAAAGAAGATTTAGCAATTAACAAGGGAAATGTCATTTCAAGGAAACAGAAGGCGCAGAAAAGAATCTGAGTAGGAAATGAAGCTAACCTGTGAATGACTGCCCCTGCATCACTCTCTTATAATAGAATATTTTAGGTTGAAGAGTCCTTCTGTATTAAAAAAAATAATATTAATAATAACCATCATCATATTAGGCAGATATCAGGGTTATTCAGGTCAGCAGAGCCAAAAAAAAGTTTTGAATACTTCCCCATGATTACATTCAATTATGAATTTGCTGCAGGGATGCAGTAAGCTGCATAACAGTTACCAACTTTAGTAGCAAATATTCATTTTGCAGAATTCTTGGGGATAACAATTTGCATTTATTCCACCCCCTTCTTTTTAACCATGTGATCATATTGTTGCAGACATTCACTAGATCCTATTTTTGGTTTAGTGTTGAAAGGGCAAAACACAGTGAAAATTTGTCCAAGGCTCTTTAAATGTCTATTACATCTATACATCTGTGTATATGATATTACCTGCCTTCACTCTTTAAATATCTATTTATTACATTTAGAGGTCTTGGTTTGTGATATTTCCTTCCTTCAACTAATATCAGAAAAATCGACGATGGACTTTACCGGGATCTATCTAGGATATACCCTTAAAAATATTCATATTAGTATGAGGCTTGCTTAAACAAAGTCACATTTCACTGTCATCATGAATAATTGATGTATTTTTTCAAACTCATAGGCATAGTAAGCAGTTTTGTAATTCACAACATATTTAGCAAAGACTGCCCCTGGCCTACCTAATTTTCAATCATGATAACATGATCTCAACTGTAATTAACAAGTATTGATTTGAATACAAGTCTTTAGTCTACCTTTGGGTGCAATATCTTTTGACTATCACTGAAATATTGATTTGGATGATTAATCCCAGCATCACACGGCACGCCATGAAGAGCTTCAAATGTCAAGGTACATGCTAACTGCACATACAGTATCCATAATATCAGATATTAAATTCAAATGTTAACCGATAATTGAAGTTCAGCAGGTTATGCTGAGACCTACCTGATAATGTCTATTTCGCACTTTGTTCATGACATCTTCCGTTGCTCGACTGTTCACCCCCATTCTGCTGAGAGCAGCTCTTAGATTCTCTTCACTATTAAATTCAAACAGCATCAAATAAATACCATGCCATGACTAGGCAAAAAAAAATAACATTAAAGAATGAGGCTGAATAACAGAGCAACCATCTCAATGTTATTAAAAATTAGAATAAGTTTAAACTCCTTCAACTCTATTTGGGTGGAGCTTATTCCCTAATGGTTTTGAAAGGTTGTCAAAATCAAGATTAGTAAGATCATAACTAAGATCGGAAGATCCTATTCAACTATTTTTGTAAGATCAAGAGGGTAGCAAGATCATAAAACATAAAGTCGTAACAAAAATCGTAAGATACTACTGAAACCGAAAATAATAGTACATATTTGAAGTGTTTCTACATGATATTTTCGTAGCAAGTGTATTCATGGAAAAATGAACATCGTCGAACCGTAATTGTTGTGCCTCTGTACCATGTTATTCTTCTCGGCATGGTGGTGGCTGGAAAATGGCTGTCCATGGCCAAAAATGGCCATGATCGTACATAATCAATTGAGGTGAGTGAAATCGTAGAATCGTAAGATTTTAAGATTTAAATCAAAATTTGATAACCATGGTTTTGAATGTAGGGAACCCCGAAATCATACAATTTGAGCAAATCAAGAATAAAAGGCACAGCCAATACTAGAGAAAGCTGTAAGACAGAATTGGTTACATAAGGAGAGATGTGAAATTGCATTGTCCTTAAGGATCTCTACTCAGTGAAAATCTGTGAGCTATTCATAAAATGACGCACTATGAGTATACTATTGTTAAAGAGAAGAAAAGAGGGAAAGGAAATATAAAAATTGAAAATGTGTTCCGTTTTCATGCGATATAAGAAAACATATAGTAGTTGTATCCGGGTCAACAAAACAAGAAAAGAAGTGAAACAGGAGTTCCTTAGGATATTCCCTGATTTTATTTTAGGGAATTTCTGTTATAGGAGGAGGTAAAGGGATTAGTGAAGACATCCAAAACTATTATTAGAAAGTTTCTTTGGAGGAGTAAGGGCTAGTCTAATTTAGTTATGTGAAAGTGTTTTTAGTTTTTAAAAGTAAAGTTGAGAATGATAAAACTTGTTTGGTTACCTAATTATACAAAATAGTTTTAGAAAACTATTTTCTATTTATAAGTTTTGTAAACTAAAAAACTAAAATAGGTTTTTAATGTTTTGATTTTTTACTTTTAAAAATTGAGAAGAGAAAAATATAAAAAAAATATTATGCTACAATTTCCATTAATGCCAAATTTATAATATTGTACAACTTTAAAAAGTTGGAAAAAAATGTATATGAATTATTAATAAATGCAAATGTGTCTATCAAACAAGTTTTTTTTAATTTTTTCATCTCTTAAACAGTTTTTAAAAATAAAAGTAACAAACATGTTTTATTTTTTATTTTCATTTTTTTGAAATTGATATGTAAAATAAATTTTGAAAAACTAAACCAAACTCTTTCAAACAAGCCATTAGTCTGGGTTAGGAGCTTAACTCTAATTTAGAAGTTCATAGAACACCTGTTTATGCATTCTTTTATTTCTTTTTTTCTGTTTTCCACCATTGTAAGAGCTTGAGGCTAGCCATTTCGGGTCAATTAAAATTTAGTTCACCTCCTTAAATTTAGCTCACATACTGTACATTCTGTTAGACTATTAGGAGTACTAATGTAGTTATCAATTTTATCAGTGGCAGTTATGTTTTATTAATTATGTGTTTAAGTTAAGAATAAATAGGGGAAGATAGGGGAAAGTGGCTTTTCTTGGCATGTGACAGGAAAGGAGCCCTTTTGGCATTAAGGGGGGTGAAGACACTCGAAATTCTGGATATCATTTTGGCAACATATTTAATTTAATAACTGGAGAAGAATTTTAAATTGCTCTTGAATCTTTTCAATGTGACACCAAAAGCCAACAAATTATTTATCAAATAAAACAAAAAATGGAGAAAAATTATATATTCACATAACAGTTCTGAAAGCTAAACTATCCAGTTGGCTTCTTAAAGAAGTGCAAAGAGTGACCTGAAGTGTCGATAGGGGCAACCATGATGATCTCCAGCACCGGGAGTTGATGAAATAATTTTATAACAAGAATAGGGAGTATAATCCTGTAACGTGCATCAGAATATTAGTTTTTGAAACTCATCATATGTGTGCATAGAAACACACTGGAAATAACTGAGTATTTTCAAATCTGATTTTGAATTGTAAAATAAAATGGCAAAACCAGTCATCTGCAAAAGGAATATATTTGTGACATGCCAAAAATCAGTTAAGTTTAATACTTACAGTTCTCTTCCCTTCCTTTCCATAATTATGGCGAATGGTATATGCATATTCTTTCTCAAACTTCTCCAAACCAACCTACAATCAGATCTTACAATTAATTTATCATTAATGTAATTAATGTAATTTGACAAAAATAGAACAGTATATACAAATATTAATACCTACTCAAAGACTATATACCAAGATGTCTAGAGAGATATGGGATAGATCGAATAGATAGATAGGAAGATTAAGGATGAATGAAAAATATTAGGAAATAGTGCAAATAAATTATCAAAGGCAAAACTATTGTGATTCTCATTGTAACTCAACATTCATAATACTGAAAATACACACAAGCTCACATGTTAACTTTAAAGTGTGAATGAATAGATTTCAGTTTCTGACAGAGATTGTGTACAACAAATAAGAGATCGTGTACAACAATCATACTTACCTTCTTAGAGAACTCAGCTCTCCAAAATGCAAGTGCATCATCCAGGTTCAAACCAACACCCTAATCATTACAGAGGAAAGAACAAAAGATGAGAACACTGAAGACAGTGGGAGGAAAATAATTAACAGTCATTAAGAAGTCTAATTGATTCTCTCTGATCAGTTAATCAAGCATATTCGAATTGAAAATAATTATTATTATTATAATTATAAGAATAATTCAAAATGAAGTATCAAAATGTTGTACTCTGGCAGTGCCACAGATAAGTGCCATACACTGGCAGAATTTGGAGATCTGCTAGAACCCAGCAGTCATAGCATACCACCATAAACTATTTTTCTTAAATTTGGAGAACTGCACCACAATGCCGAAATGAAACAGCAAATATTTTGACTGTGGGCCTCTCTCTTACTCAATTAAGAAGAGAGAAATAGAAAATTGATCTTATTTAAAGAAAAAAGTTTTACAAAAGATAAGTATTAACTAGTGATAAGATAAAGATAAACCAAGAAATATATAGATAAGACTAAGTTTGCTAACTAAATTTACATTTATAATCATTTATGCAGCTAAGATTCTGCATCTACAGAAACCAGTCAAAACGTGGAAGACATTGACATGAGTTCTCAGAATCAGGGTTTCATGAACAAAAAGCAATTATTTCAATGCAGAGACAAAAGAGAGAAAATTTGAAAATCTCAATTAAACCAATAAGAGAAGCTGCTTCATGCACACTCATGTGTAAAAACATGTGAAATGTCAGGCTACATTTAAAGGTATTCTCAATATGCTCAGACCAACCTTGAGAAAGAGGCCTAGTTGCATCCTCCCACCGTGCTTTAAATGATGGTCCTCTTTCAGCTGATTAAGCATGGCATAAATCAGAAGTTAATACAGATGAGACAAAAAACCAACAATATGAAGACTAGTTAAAAAAGATAGATGAGTAAAAAAATTAAATAAACTGACAATTAAGAAACACAATATATGGATCATAGCTTATGACTGACTTCTAACCTTGTCAAACTGGTGACGCATGCACAAAGGAAATGAGGTCTTGGCAAGTTGATCAATGTCTTTTAAAGATATCTCAGCATATTCCTTAGGCTGCAGAGGTTTTCAATCAAAATGACAATTACATTACCAATCCAACACCACATAAACTAATAATAGTGATAAATGCACGGAGATACCACATGAATTACCTGAGAAAAATCAGGACCTAGATAACTTGAGCACAAGGCTTCCACAATCTACACAAAACCCAATCAAGTTCAATTAAAAGAAAGGATATACTCATAAACAAAGAGTGCAACCACACTTACCGGAGTCAACCTATGCTTCTCCTGTTCTCTGATTGAAGATGTCCATTTTCTGCAACATATATAAACGCTAAGAATCATAAATTCCAAAATTGAATCTGAAGAAAGAAAATTCTCCTAGAACACATAAGAACAATAATTGAGATCCAAATGACAAACAAAACCTGTTTGTAAGGATGAGTGTCTTTGACAGCTGACTGCGGAATAGAGTGGCTACAAGTGAAACAACCTGGGAGGGGATCAAAATTGAAACATAATAAGGATTTACTATTAACCAATACACCGATATATAAAACAATGAATTGAAAGCAATTACACTAGCCAACCTGATTCATTGCAACATAAGCATATCCTTGACTTAACAACACTCTACGCCCGGCTACAAGTTCTGGAACATCTTCAAATGGTACCTATATGGGAATGAGAGAGGATATCCAAATTTCATAAAAAATAAGGAAGAAGATTGCAAGATTAAGATGACAGTGAGAATCTATAACTTCCACTTCATGTATTTTTTTTAAAAGGCTCCTCCAACAATATTGTCATGATGGATACATCAAATGGAAGTTGTATTGTATGATATGCTTTCAGAAAAAGATGTTGAAAGCGAGACATGAAAGTGTGTTGAAAGAAGATATTCTCTCAAACACCCCTCTCAATTCAACAAACTTTTGAAAAACAAAAACAGCCCCAAGGATTAACAGATATCATTCATGTCTGACTTTATGATAGCTAACTGATTATCAGACTTATATAGGTAGTTGCATTTTATCAGACTTTATGATAGCTAACTGATTATCAGAACAATCCAAAAGTTTAATGAACAAGAGTGCCTATCTTGCAAAGCATAAGAAACATTCACTGATTTAATATTTCTAGTGGAACTGGGGTCATGTTTAAACCGGTCCATGAATCCATTCATTTGTACAAAAAGCAAAAAGTAGGAGAAGATAACATACGTACCTTGTAAAAGATTGCATCACCTGCCAAAAAATTAAAAAGCAAAGCAAAAGAGACACATCAGATATAAATTAGTAAAAAGCAGGAAATGACTCAAACTTTAAGAAGAAAGTGAATTCATAGCTTTTGAAAATAATAAATCCTTGTCTCACATTAGAATAGCAGCACAAACATATCACTTGTGAAATCCCCAATATATCTTTTACAGAAATTAAATCATGCAACTGCCACCTCAGTACTGGATTTACATACTAAAAGAATCCAACAGAAAGAAGCGCCTTAGCCCTTAGGCAGCAGCAACCACTGGTTATTTACATATTCCTATCCATTCAACCTCTAGCAGGGGACATGGAAATCATATGCTGAAAAGAAGACGAAATCTCTGCCAATACAGTAAATGATCATTCGCTAAAGAAAACATTGTGTTCCTACCTGTGGGTAAAGGCTGACCCATGGAACGTGCAACTTGTCCCAGTTTCTCTTTAATGCTCTGGAAAAATATTCACATTGTAAGGTACTCAAGGGTACTTGTTGCTCTAAACTAAATGTTTCTGTAGTTCACCTCATAGAAACATTACTAATAACACCAATAAAACATATGAAATGTCATTACCTCAAATTCCATAATGTTAACAGCCTTGCAAGTTATGTCAAATTCGTCCATGATTGCCCTCTGTGCACTCATAGGCAAAACACATGATAAATTAGTACCTTACTTGGAGTGCAAAATACATTTAGAAAAGTCAGATTCTACCTGAGCTTCAGTAGTTAGAAAACGAAAACGGTAGCGAAAAAGTGCACATTCCATAGAGAGAAACCATTTCCTCAAGTCCTCCCTGGCCATACAGGTAGAAACTCAAGTAATTTAATATATATTGAATAACTTAGAGATGTTGTTTAGATTTCTTTATGAATATAATATTCTATCTCAATCTGCTAGTGAATACCTATTTAAAACTGCATGGAACAACAGAAAAATAAAAAATATGTTAAAGAGAAAGAGAGAGATCTCACGTTCTGCAATACACTAAACGCAAAACAAAATGAGATATAATATCCTTGTTCAAAACCTCAGAAGCATGCTGATGTCTCATGTTCACTTTCCACAGTTCGCTTACCTATGCAAATGTGGTTTATATGAAAAGAGTAAACAAGAAAAAATCTAATAAATTAATAGACTACTATATCCCTATTGGCAAATCCAGAATTTTACCAATTTTTCCATTTCATCCGGTTTCTTTCCCCGTGACAAACCATCAGAAATTCCCTTTAGAACTGCAACAAGCAACATTATACATCTATTTTAGTAATAAGTATATGCAAAGACAAATCATCTGCAGATTTCAGATCTTCACTCAAACATTACAATCAAATTACCACAAGCTTAACAACCATATGTACCTATTTTTTCTTTGCTTTTTTTCTAAAATTGAAGGAGAAATGAAATGTAAGAAAGTACGAGGTAGTGTAAAATCAGAGTAAACTATTCAAACCCTAGGCACGAAATCAGCGAGCATTGGAAGCATGTGGTTGTGCATATAACAGATCTATGAAAATTGAAGAAACATGACTCGATTAAAGGAAAAGTACTACCTCGGAGGCGATCGATGGCGAAAGACTCGAAATCTTCGAGTCGGACTTCGAGTGGCGGAGCAGAGCGATAAAGGGGGATAGTTGGAGCAGGTGCGGCGTCGTTACTGGAAAACAAGTTCCTGTGACTATGAGGTCGAACAATTTCCATCGCTTTCTCTCTTCTCTTGCGGCGCCGAAGCAAAAGCAGTAAGGTGCAATCTCGATCTGTGATGGTGTTTGAGTTGATTTTTCTGTTTCTGAACCCTCGCGCCAAAATATTGGGCCTAGGGAACAAAATGGCGGGAAAAGGATCATGTTCTCTCTCATTTGTTTTTGCCGAAAAGTATATTAATTTTGATATAAAGTTTTCAACCTATAAATTACGCAATTGAAAATAAAATTAAATATCCTGGCAAAAAAATATTAAAATTAAATAATAATACTTTTATTCAAAATCAAAATAATAAATTTATTACTATTATTCATTTTAAAATTTGTGAGATTCACATTCTTCACGCTAATTGTGACTATTTTAATAATAATAACATTTTTTTTGTCAAGAATAATAACATTACTTTATATTTGTAAAAAATTATTACTTTATTTTTTCACAGTGATTTATTTTTATTATATTTGTTAGTAGACTCACATTTAAACATAGCAACGAGATAGAACGGAGACGAATTTATCTTCTTTCGTACTTAAATCTAAATTTTACTTATATATTCTTTGCTTCAAATTTATCTAAACGATGATAAATAATTAAATTCTAAATTCATCCTAAATGAATTTGAACATTCTCGCATCCCCCATGAAAATCAATTGTGTTAAGTTGAAATAGTTAATTTTTTTTAATTCATATAAATTGGAAATAATAGATTAAAGTCATTCTTACCGTTTTCAAATATATATTTTAAATATTTCAAATAAAAAAGTATAATAGTGCATACAAAATTATCAATGCAGTGGGTTCTAAATTGTCAATAGAACAAGTTTATGGACAAATTTTTAGTAGATAATAGTGTCTTTGTTACTAGTCTCATATGATTCCTATCTTTCAAATAAGGATAAATCCAAAATCAAACTTAAACATAGTCAAATATAGAATTTTTCAATCAAAGACAGAGTGGGTTTAAGCGTGTATCGATTGTGTCGTCATGTATACACGCGCTATTGTCAATGGATTTTATTATTCACCCTATGAGTGTTGTGTATATAGGTTGGGTAAGCCCATAAATATGGTGAAAACGACTCCAGAAAAAGTTTGGTCGGGTTAATTGAATGAACATGATTTTTAAAATTAAAAAATTATTCAAAATAATTTGGTTTCGAATAAACTAATACACAACACACAAATCTTATAGGTTATTTGACAACTGTGTTTTTTCTCTTTTTTCGTAATTTAATCATTGATGATTTTGATATGTTTGGACTTGGTTGCTTTTATGATGTCAACCCAAACTAATGCATCAATGGATGATGTGTTAGAGGTTTCTTAGTCAAATATTGTATATGTTGACCTTGAAAAAAAATTGTCATTGGACAAGATTTTAGGTGACATTAGCATATGCCTGAATGGATATTGAACATATTATTATATGAGGCATAACCAAAAAAAAAGTTATATGCATAATTTAGACACATCCTTTAAACTTGTTATTTAAGGCATATATGAACATATTATGGTGATTGTATGTGCATGAATGATAACATTTGGATAAACTTATGTGACTATATTAATTAGAAAAACTCAATAAAAAACTCTTTTGTATTTGTAATCAAAACTGTTATGCACATCAAGATTGTCTACATTTCATGTATTACAACAAATCATCTTAAGTATTGTACAAGAACAAATAAAAGCACATTACTTTCATGCATACATACAAATATATGCACACTACTTAAACACAAATAAAACTAATTTATTACATTAAAACCAACAATAACAATGTTTATAATATATTCATGCAACTAATGTCATAAATTACGATTCAAAAATCCTGCAAAAATGTAAAGAAAGGAGTTTATCTTATGAGTTTGTCGCACACCCCTGCCCCTTATTTGCCGCATACACTGAAGTGCATTTTGTGCCTCTAATAAAATCATGTGTATGGTGTACTATGGACAACGTATCTTCCTACAACTCCCATTTATTGATGACATTCTCTAGTACAATGATGATAACATGACATCTAAACAACACATTCATAACATGGTCTTCCCTAATATCTTTCTCCTTAAGATCTCTTTGTGAGTTGTTTTATGGGTCTCTTAAGCGCCACATACAGGTGTGTAAGTCTCTAATACCATTAGATGTGATCATATACATACTCTATGGCTTATCAGTTGGCACATTTTATACATCTTATAGTACCAAGTTCTCATGATAGTTCATAATTATCTCCTCAATATTTATATGATACACTTTAGGATGCACATCAATTGTATATGCCACATAGATATTATGTCAATACCATAGTTGTTTCAATATTCACTCTGGTAGTTATGGCTATATAATTTGAAACTTATATGCCGATCATCAAGAGTATTATCATGTCTCCTCTAAAGATTGTCTCTGACGGTGTTTACCATGTGGGGTAAAACATATATTTCGCTAGAATATGGTTCATATAATGTATGTAACTATTTGTCAATGAATACCTCATATGTGTGTTAATCCACAAAGCATGAGGTAACTCTCCATCAAAGCCAATAACAATCTGTCATAAGTCGGGCTCAGTAAAATGTTGGACGATCTGAAATGTTTGTGTAGACATATGGACTCAGACACACACACACACGCGTGCGCATGCACACACACAAAATGTGCCATCAATGTACATGGTTTGTAATATATTCTGCATCATCACCATCATGGATAACAACTACGTTCAAATTATCCTAATATGTTTCCTTCAAAAACCCAAAATTATGGATGTGATTCCCGTGTATTCGTAAACTCTAACCTAGACTCAGACATATCATCTCATAAGCATGCAAACATTAGGTATAGTGCATCAACTCTCTTAATGGTATAATGGTCAAAACATTGGCTTATAAAAGGAAGATGCATAATGCAAGATACATTGTTCAAAGTAATGCCCATCTCAATAATGAACTGATTAAATGACAATGTCACTAAGCTCCCTCTCTCAATAAAAAACAAACATAAGTTTGTGGTCGATGAATTGAATACAATTTCTACAAACATCCCTTAGCATGGATTCTACTAATACTTGTTGAAACCATGGTTCACTGAATTGCATTAGTTGTGATATCTTTTTATTATGGCTAATACCCTTTAGGGTCTCATAAAATTGGAAAAATAAATAGTTAAACTTCGAATGGTTAAAGTCAATATAAATATGATAAAGTCATATGTTTAAAGTCAATATAAATATGGTAAATCATAATTGAATACTATATTTACCTCTAAATTTCAAATGTGATTAGAGATATGGTATGCATATATCGACAAAAATGATGTGTGTAATTTGAGTCCTCAGAAAATCCCTCGATAACAAGAGCATGTGCAGGAGCATATGCATGGGCCTAGGGTCTGCCATGAGATTGAGAACCTTGACTATTTGATGATTATCCCTCAATTGTGATATATATTTGACATTTATCTATATATATTGAGACATATTATGATAATCTATTATGTTTATACCTTTGTTCACCAGTCCTTTTGTATATAGTGACACGAGAAAAGATATAACATTAGACACAAGACAATGACAATGTACTAATTAGACAACGTCGTATACAATACAATAGACTGTGTGACAATGTCTATTTATATATAAAGCATGATAAAGAATATAAAATATACAATTGAAAAATGTTAACCTATGTACTATTAACATTGTACAATTTAAAATTAGACTATTTATAAACATATGAATGTTTGTGCAATTGAAAAATGCCATCTTATATATTAAAGCTCTCCAATATACAAATATACAAATGACAACATTATGTGATGGTCCGTAAGATAACATTTGAATGGTGTCGCCGAAAGTATCATTTGAACACACTCGAACTAGAGAATCTCAATCAAAACACAATCATAACCCCAAACTATAATATAATCCAAAATCAAACAAATACAATATAAAAGGAATGCAATGACGATAATATGCAATAAACCGAAGCTAAAAAGGAAATAAATGTATCTTAATAACCATAAATATTCCATGGAAGTAAAGAGATTAAATTCACTACTTTTTCTTAAATTTCCATAATAAAATAAATGAATGTCCATACTTAAGTAATTCAGTGAAATCGAATGAGTTAGGGCTGAGATTGAAATAGTTTAGAGTAAGGGGTAAAAGTGATTACAAAACTGGAAATGTGTTAAGAGCTTGTTTAGAATTTTTTATTTTTAAAATGTTATTAAATAGGATGAGGGAAGTTTAAATTGTGTTTTATTAACTTACGAAGATCTGAAAGTTATCATCCAGATGATGTGTTTGAACGTTATTTTTTAGATAAACTCATTTGGTCTTTTAGGGAGTGATGTCATATGAATGACATTGTATAATATGCATCTGAAAGATAGATATCTTTCAAATGAAATATATTGTGGAACTTTCATAGTGGTTGGAAAACATGTAATGATCAACTCCTTTTCTTAATTCACAGCCAAGAATCAACAATTAGTGTATGGGCCAATATGAATTCATAGATCTGGTTAAATTTTGTAAACTTCTACTTCCAAACACAACTCAAGCATGTTTTTTTTTGTAGCTCAACACACCATAGTATAACATAATCATGTCTTTGCGGAAGTATACAATAATAAAATAGAATTTATTTTCCCACCCTTATATGTTTTCCCTAACCTTTAACGAAAAATAAAAATGCCTTCTATTTTTGGAGATGCATATTAGGACACACCATTTTCACACAAAATAAGCGCTAATTATTGAGCTCCCATCACTTTGCTAAAATTTAATTCGGAGATGGATCTTCGAATGTGTTTTAGGGTTTGTTCAGAAATGCATCTCCAAAATAACACTTGTTTTCAAATTAAGTGAAATTTCCAGGGATGCGTCTCCAAATGTTTTCAATGATATATAATGTGCGCCAACCCCCCCCCCCCCCCCTTTCCTCCTTCTTCATTTTATAAAAAAATTCATCCTTTATTGGAGCTCATAGGCA